AGAGAAAGAGAGAGACAGAAAGAGAGAGAGAGAGAGAGAGAGAGAGAGAGAGAGAGAGAGAGAGAAAGAGAGAGTGAGGAGGAAAAGAGGGCGAGATCGAGCTGTCGAGCATTAAACGTCGACAGGACTGTTAAAGGGGATTAAGATACGACGAAATTATAAAACGACGTTAAAAAGCGTCGAGGAAGACTGACTCGGGTTCGTCCGCGATCGAAATTAATTAATCGTTCGATTAATTAATCTTTTCTCCGGTTTCGAGGAGAGTACGCGCACGATTGTACGCGAGAGCGAGCGAGCGAGAGAGAGAAAGAGAGAAAGAGAGAAAGAGAGAGAGAGAGGGAGAGCGCCGCGGGAAGAAAATTTAATTAGACTAACATTTTCCCGGTGTCTGCGCCCGACAGGTGATCAATTATGACAGTCCGCGGGGCGGGGTATCGGTTATCACGGAGAAAGGCGAAGTAACGACCTCATACCTTTTGATTCAGCGCGCTAAGCCGGCGGATAGCGGACAATACACCTGCCATCCGAGTAACGCTAATACAAAGACCGTCTTGGTTCACGTGCTTAACGGTATGTATGCACCACCTTAATCCGCACCCTTGCTGGCGCACCTGCTGTTGCGCTCGTGAGTCGCGCGGCTTGCGTCGCGACTTTAATACACTCGGCGCGGTAATCCCCGTCGGGGGAGTGGGCGCCGATTGTCGCCTCTCTCTCTGCAAGACAAACATCAATTATAAACATTGACTCCCTCACGGCAGAGTAGCCCGGGATGTAAGTTCACTTACATCCCGGGCTTATATAAGCGATTCGTTATAGAGTTCGCATGTCCCTTAGAGCGCGCAAAAGTTCAGAGCCAAGCGGGTATCAGGGCGGAAATGCGCAGATCAATAACAATCCACAAAAGACAAGCTTTAACACGGAAAAAAATAATTTGCTGCAGCAGCAAACTAATTTGCTGTATATGGACAGTTAAATATAATTCGCTGTGTTAACTACCTTTTTTTGCTGCAGGAACCTATTTTCTTGCTCTTAAAGAAAATCTGCTCTTACAACAAGTGGCTAACGTAGTAAATTTGCTAAAGATGGACAACTAAACATAATTTACTGCTATTTTTTATTGTTGCAGGAGCAAATTTTCTTGTTATCATAGCAAGGAAATTGGCTCCTGCAGCGAAGAAAAAGTGGCTAATACATACAAGTGGCAAATTATGTTTAGTTGTCCATCTGTAACAAATTACATTACATATGTATATACAATAGCATACGTAGCAGATCTTTTTTTTCCGTGTAGAGTCACAAGCGTTCCGTGTAGAGGCCCAGCGAAATTCTAAATAGATCTTGGCGATAAGGAATCCCGCGAATTAGAAGTCGCGCGAGATAGATGATAACGGTACTAACGTTTGCGACTCGCAGGGGAACATCCGGCGGCGATGCAGCACGGCGGCCAACTGAGGCTGGCCAATCTACCGTTCGTGATAATCTCCACGACGCTTTTGACCATCCTGAATCACCCGTATTAAGCGGGGAGCTCTCCGGTGTCGGGCAGCGGTGAAACGTCGGCCGCAGGTATTTCTGCCGAATTTGCGGACGGCACGGCGGAGCCGGCCGGGTCGCCCTCAGCGCCCCCGAAGGATAGCGTGATTGAGATTGATTTAAGACCCGTCGTCATTGAAGGCTTGTGGCCTTCCGCAGCGAACGGCCGTCGTTCGAGGGAATTAATTGCACGAGTTCGAAAGCCCTCTCGTGCGACTAGTGTCGTATTTTACGTTTGATGTTCTTCGGGCTTTTACTTGAAATCATACGCGGCACTCGCTATCTAGTGAAGTGGTTATTATCGAGTATCACGTGCATGATCCGCGTGGCGTTCTCATCGACGAATTTTTGGTATTTTCGAGCTTTTACCTTCAAATCGTGCACATTGTTTTCGAGTTAAGTAGTCATTAGCAGGTGTCGTGCGGTCGGAAACATTCGCGCGCTACTCGTCGACGAGTTTTTCATATTTTCGGGCTTTTGCTTTAAATCAAATACGATGTTTTTCAGTTAAGTAGTTATTATCGAATGTTGCGTGCGGTACCAATCGACAAATTTTTCGCATTTTCGGGTTTTCACTTCGAATTGCATGCGTTTGCTGTTTGTTGCTGCGTTGAATAGTTAGTATCGGGTATCGGGCGGAAATATTTGCGCGGTGCTCATCGATGGATTTTCCGCAGGCCAAAGCGCCGCGACCGACATCGTCGGCGATCGGAAAGTCAATAAGAGCCCCGGCTACAACCTCACGCAAGTCCACGGATAATGGCCAGAGGAAATCTTATCTCGGGCCGAGGAGAGAAGCACCACGACGCGTTGAGAAAAACACGAGGACAAAAGCGAAGACAGCGCGGCGAGGGCCGAGGGAGAGAAAGGCGGAGAGGAAATGCGACGAACGACGATAGTGATCGTGAGAGAGAGAGAAAGAGAGACGGAGAGGGAGAGAGAGACGCGAGGGGACAGGTGTAAAAACGACGGAAAACGAACATTTCGGTTAGTGCTGAAGTATTGTAAATGCGCGAAGACTTTTAGGGCGAAGACAGGGTAGCGAAAAAATCTGATATATATATATATATATATATATATATACACATACGCAGACAGACACACAGACTAAACGCGTATATTCGTGAGAATAACTGTCGACTAACTCGGATGACTCGCACACTCGAGCAGCAGGTATAAACGTTACATTTTTGCTTTATTACGGTTACGAGACAATACGTTGTGCTTGCCAAAGGATGTGTACGTGTTACTGTTGATAAGAAAATGAGTTAAGACTTTAACGAGTCCGTGTTAAAATCTATTGTTACGTTGCGAGAGAGAATACCTATGAGAAAATATGCATATATATATATATATATATATATATATATTATATATATATATACATATATATATATATACACACACATACGCGCATTTATATATATATATAAGATACGATGCGAAGCCAAAATGAGAGCACTCGATGAAAGAGACGCGATCGAGCGCGCTATCGCATTGAAATCGATCGCGCGGAAGTCATTCACGCGCGGACAATGCCAGATTTTTGAGAGACGACCGTCGAGGGTGTTGCTGGTATAGAAAGGATGGTTGTCCCCATTGTCTCGTGCGGCGAAAACGGCGGCGCATTCGCCTCGGACTCGTCGGGAGGATTGATAATTGAAACAACGCGGACGAGAAGGGTGGAGTATTATTAGGCGAGACACGTCGAATAAGAACGCTGCTACGCCGCGTTAGAGCCCGGTTCAACGGCGGGCGCATTGCTCATCGGACACGAGGCTTTATATTTCATGTCGAACGATTATTTGACAGCGCGGGACCGACTCTGACCGACAACACCGGGCACCTAAGCGCGGGTGATAATTGCTACATAGAAGGTAATTATGATTATAATTTAACTTTAATCATTGCGCAGCTATAATGCACGAGATCACAATTATCGGGGAAGATATTGTTTCGTTATTGCCCGCGTTTCATGTACGACCTATTGTGCAGTGTGTACCGTGTCGATGTCGTCATGAAAAAATTGCACGTTCAAGCGAACAAAAGGACGAGGACCCGCAGGTTAATGAAACAATTTAAGGGGAAAGACAAAGCGGCTCGATTCAATGTTAAACCACGCGTCCCACGGTGTCCGTTCATTCGACGAATTCAACCCGGACAGTCCCTTTGAGATATCCTCCACATCTTCTCGTTCTCAGGATGCGCTCGTACAATGTTAACGTTCCGCGAGTTGAGCTTGCGACGTCCTCGCCGCGGTATTATTCGAGTTTACGGACGATTCGAGTCTCTCTTTCTCTCATTCCCCATCCATTTCTTCATTCGACGAGTCCTGCTGATAATTTTAATCGTCAAATCCACGCCGCAAATCAGACTCATTGCGGTCAAGTGTGATGCAATAAATCTGACTTGCGCGGCGTGAAATTGATCGACGTGTGTCGTTTGAGATACTTTGCTCAGCCCTTCTCATTCGCGCGCGAGGCGGGTCTCGTCCTGTAATTTCATGTGCAAAATGACGTCATTGTATCCGACGACCATGGACTCATAGAGAATTCTCCTAGACTCATCGATATCTGCGTCTTTTCACGAGAAAGACAAGTCCGTGATAGCAGCGCGGGTACGGAGATCAAAACTGAAATCCTATTCGGACCAGAGAATATGCGATTCGCATTCAAATATGTACATACGTACGGAGAACCGCAAGCAAACAAGCGCGTGGCGTGGCGTCGCGAAATAAACACGCGTCAAGCCCGCGACATTCTGTTCACGTTCATGTAAAGAGATATATATGTCCTTCTCTCAGTTGCAACCCGATACGTTTATTCGTAAATGTGCTTGATAATACACGGTTCACTCTCCACCTAGTTGAATACCAAAAAGATACCAAACGAGATAATTTATAATATTAATAATAAAAGATTTTTTTCATATGAGGTACCACTTGTATTTTGCCTGTACAACGTTCCTCGCGTTCCTCGAAAAACGTCGAGAACGTCATCTCGGGTACGTCGTCCTGGACATGCATGTTGTGTAAAGTGTGTTTCCATAACCCCACGCTTCCGTCGTGCACGCGCATCTTCTCACACGGTCTGCAAAGGATCCCGGTCGGCCTTGGACACGCGCACTCTGACGGAGCTCTGTAAACTGCGGTCCAATATCGACGCAAATACCTCGAGGAAACCTCGCTCCGAGTCGGAGTGATTCGTCAATATTACGTGAGCGCCGCGATGCACGGCGTCCAGCACGTCATGGTGCAACATCTCCCCGGTGAGATACAAGTCGGCGGATATTCCTTTCAATACCGACGCGCCCGAGCCGGCACAGAGCGCAACAGTTTTCACGTAACCGTCTGAAATGTAAAAACAGAATCGTGTAAAACAGGAATTATTATATCGGATCGATGCGAAAGATCGGCCTTTCTCTTTCTGTCAATCTCTCATTCATGGGAAATTACAGATTTGAGTGTCGAAAGTTTATTAAATTTAAGAAAACTTTATTGGATATCTGAAAACAATATCAACTCTGTTTCTTATTTTATCTGTGAAAATTATTTTATCAGCCAAAAAGTTTCGAATTTCACGTCAAACAATTCCATTAGATTTTTCAGCCAAATTGTTCTTATGGTATGGACAGCAGTTATTTGTGCAAATAATTGTAACTCTTTGTTAACGTTCTAATAGCGACACATTATTAGCTTTGTGTGCTTACATGCGATACCACTCATTGAGAGTCGAGAACTGAAATTTTTGACATAATATTGAAATACCACAAAATTGGATAACCCAGATAATTTGCAATTTTGTAATTTTTGTTTTAAAGTTCGCTCGACAAGCACGACGAGTCTTTCGCAACGACCCGATATCTGCATTTATCGTTGATTTAATTCCGACCAAAATTTCATGCTATTCGATTTCTTTCCGGCGAATTTTCACAGACACTCACCTGCACTGCGTGCGCGCGCTAACCTCACGTGCTTCAGACTCGTGCGTCGCTTCACCAGATTCACCGCCTCGTCGATGGATATCCGCCTCTTCAAGGTGCACAATCGCCCGACGCCGTAGGCCGAATTACTCGCGTCCGGTTGAATCGGTTCGCTGCCCTCGAGCTCTTAAAAAAACGCAAAATCTTTATGCGCGCCGACGCCAAGTGTCAACGATTCGTCGAGCCGATTCTCACCGAAGGCTTCCGCCAGCCAGTCGTTCACGCCGCCTCGCACCGAGTCGAAGCTGGTGTGCGGCGAGTACACGGCGATCTTGTTCTCCAGACATCTCGCCACCACTCGCTCCTGTGAGACAATCGTATCAACGGAAATCAGATCGCCACGGCGAATCCCACGGCGACGTCGTGACAATGAATGCCGCGTTGACAACTCAGAGTTGAGAAGTGGCGCGTTACTTGCAACTTACGAGTTACTTTTCTTTAGTAAGAACTTGATAACGATGACATGATATTCTTTTTTTTCTTCTCGTTAGTACAAGAGACAACGAAAAGACAGTTTCATCTTCCCTTTATAACTATAACGAATATAATCGTTATTTTATACGCGGGATGATGGGCGGCAAGAAAAGTTTTGAAGACCTTTTATAGGTCGCGAAGAAGAGTTCTCGAAACTTGGTGAATGAAGTAACATGAATTCTAACGACTCGTTTCTTGACACGCTGCAGCAACGGTAACAATATCTACCCAATAAGTAAAGAATATTGGATCAATATCTTGAAATATTGATTTCACGTATTTCTTGAACATTCTCGTTTAATATTTTGAAGACATTTCAAAGATAATACGGGATAATACGATCCTTTTGAATATTGCAAAAATGTTTTAGAAATATTACATTGTCAAAGTTATTCATAATAATGTTGGTACAACGTTAAAAACTATATATTAGAAAACGTTACATGTTACTAAATATCGTTGCAATAACGTTCTATTAACGATTTTTTGTTTACTGGGTGAATCACGAGTAACGTGTAAAAAGTAACTTTCCCAACACTGACGCGTGGCACGGTACCTTCCAAGATTGCGTCGTGATGGACTTCAACGGGGCGAATATCAGCGGGTGATACGTGACGATCAGGTCGGTGTTGAGCTGAACGGCCTCCTCCATCACGTCCTCGGTCAAGTCGTTCGTTAGTAAGATACACGATACGACCTTTGGCTGCGTCGGTTCGACCAGTAATCCGACGTTGTCCCAGGATGCGGCGAGCGACGTATCCGCAAACTTGCTCAACGCGTCCACGATCTCCTTAAGGGGCATGCCGACCTTATCGCCCGCGGTGTCGGTCATTGCGCGTGTCGTTTCAAGGCGCCTAATGTATCCACGCGAGTAAGAGTGGCTGCAGGATAAGCCCACGCCGTATAAGCGTCTCAACATTTATTCCTAAAACAAAGACGTAGCTGTAGACAGCATGATTCATACACTGACAGAAAAATTATATTAAAATCAACAAATATTTCTTTGATGGATGCCATTAACATATTCACTTAAAACTACATTCTCTTTATTTAAATCAAATATTGTGTACCTGATTTAAATAAACAATATTTGGTTTAAATGTAAATTTAAATAAATATGTTAATGGCACTCCCACCAAGGAAATATTTGTTGATTTGAATATAATTTTGCTCTCAGTGTAGCGTATATTAATTATTATACTTTAAAAGAATCGCAAAGAGTATATACAAAAATATATACAGGGAAGATTGAATTTAAATTTGGAATTAGTGCAAAACAAAAGCGCGCCGTTAAAGCTCGACCGCCTTCGCAATTTTCTGCCGACTAAAGTCAGCAATTAGTTCGGGTATAAAGACTTTATTGAGCACGAAAGGTCTGTTCGTTTTGGCCGAACTAGATCTCTCTAAAACTCTTTTTGGCGGGAAAGCGGAACAAATATATGATGTAGCGTTGGAAAGGAAAGGAACCAAGTTCCGGCATTAGTTCAGTTAAAAGAGACAGGCTTAGATTTATAGGCTTCGCTGGCAGAGAAGGATCGAGGCATAACAGAAATGTGAAAAAATAACAAACGCATCGTGTTTTGTGGACGCGTATGTATGCACTTTATTCGTTGTAAAGCCAAATTTTCACTAGACCGTCGTCGCCAGTCGACGCGAGCTGCCCGGGCGCGACGGGGTTCCACTGGACGCAATTGACATCCTGCGTGTGCGCGCTGTCCATCGAGCAGACCATCGTGAAGCTTGGCTGGTGCGGGTCGCAGTCGTCGTCCTCTTTGAACACTCGTATGATATCGTCGCCGCACGCGGTCACCAGCAGGCCCGTGGCCTTGCACCAGTCGATATCGTAGATCGTCCTCGTGTGATAGCCGGACAGCGTGCACACGCACTTCCAGACCGGCTCGTTGTTCGGCGTGCCGATGCCGGTCTCGTTCCCCGGCTTGTACTCCCGCCAGATCTTGACCGTCTTGTCGTCGCTGCACGTGGCGATACGGTCGCCGTTCTTGTCCCACGCGAGACTCCACACCGTGGACGTGTGGGACGACAAGATCGCGACGCACGTCCAATCGTTATCGGCCGCGTCCTCCTTGAATATCCGCGCCGTGTTGTCGTAGCTGGCGGAGGCCAAGACTTCCTCGTGCGGGTGCCATCTCACCTGAAAGCGCAAAAACGAATCCTTACTCGTCGTTCCTTTTATTCGCAGATCAATCAGATCGGATTAACATTTAGTTTTCCTTCATTAACACTAGAATTACCAAAGCAATCAAAATGATGGGTTTGTAATTTCTTATAAAAATTATTCGGCACTTTATAATGATGCATTTTGTATCTTCAGTCGACATTCTATAAAACTAGAAAAAGATTAAGTAAACATCTTTTCCCCTTGCATTATATATTTCCTCCAAAACTTTATCATTTTGACTGCTCTGATAGAAATAGATCGTTAATCGTAGGTAATTGTAGTGTTGAATTTTGAACGAGTATATATACATTCGAGTCACGGATATTCAATATATTAGATTAGTGCAAAATGATTTGTCGAATAAAATGTGAAACAAAATTTTGCGATTTTAAAGGATTCATGATTTTCACAAATAAAATGAACATTGACTGGCTATTTTTTCATCTAACGGGGGACTTTATATTTTCATTTCGATAACCAAACTGTTTCTGTGGGAATTTAATAGAAGAAAAAATGACAAATCTTTTGCAACAACCTAATAGGGATGCTTGTCGAACAGACCGACTCGCAACACGTACCTTTTTCACGTCTTGAATATGAGCGTTGATTACAGCGGCACACTCGTACTCATCGTCGTTTACCTCCCACACCCACACGGATTTGTCTCGGCTACATGTGGCGAGCAGTTGGCCGCTGACCGACCAACTGACGCTCTTCACCTCGTTCTCGTGACCTTCTAACGTCGCGTTGCACTCGAATTGGCCGGATTTTTTATCCCATACCGCAGTGGTCGCGTCGAAACTCGCGGACGCGATGTAATTACCGCAGGGAGACCAGATGAGTTCGCGAATGGTCCTAGAGTGACCCTCAGTAAGGATCATCTTTGTGACCCACTTGGGTCCCTCTAAGCCCCATATTATGATCGTTTTGTCCTCGCCACAAGACGCTAGATTAGTGCCCTTAGGATGCCAGCAAACGCTCCACACTCTACCCCTGTGCCCGCTCAAACTTTGCTTTAGTTCCAACATACCCATTGCCACCTGCAACAGTGCAATTTCAGTTTTAATTTTATCAATTAACCTTGTCAATGAAACCCAAGGAATCAAATATTTATGTGCACTGGATATATTATTCGTATAACTTAGTGCAATATGTATAAGATCCATAAATAAAATATTGTCGAATAGCCGGCTGATTAAGCATAGCAACACTTTTCCTAAATGAATTTTGCAAAGCACTCTGTACCCAAAAAGAAAATGTATCTCCTGAGAATTACTAAAAAGCAAATTCTCCTATTGGATACAAGATGCGTTACAAAACTCATAGAAGAAAAGCGTTGCTACATTTAATCAGCTATCTATACATACAAAATTATTTGCAAATAGGTAATTATATACATAATTATTGCTCATCTTATCTCATTAATTGGGCCTCTCCAGAGCCAAACTGATCAAGCTCTATGTAGATTCCTCAATTTTGAAAAGTCAAAGAGTCCATTCTTTTTATCTAAACTAGGATGCATTTGTTATCTTTTTGAAACAGAATATATATATATATATATATATATATATATATATATATATATATATATATACATATATATAAAACAGAGCATTGAAGAAAAAAAAAAACCAAGTTTCAGTGCAGTACTAGTGCAGCTAAAAAGAATAGGTCTAATTATGTTCTTCTGATACTGAAATTAAGAAATTTACAAATAGTAGAGTTGGTTGGTACGACTTCTGAGAGGTACAATTATTACAAGTTATGTAAGAGCAACTAACAAATTATCTCATCTGCTGGCACCTCTAAAATAGCGTCTTATGTTTTTCTGAAGGAACTTAAAAATAGATTTCTAAACGTGATTACCATGTTGAAAAGACGACATAGAGTTAAGATTAAATAATCCGTGATCTTTATAACACATATTTTTTTTATCTCTTTTCTTTTAAATCTTACTGTCTTTTTACTTATTTTTTTAAATAGATTTCATGTTGGTACTTTGAAATATCACTAGCGACGTTTTTTGCGGTCTCTCATCCTCCTCTTCATCTTCCAGGTCATCAGGAACACTTTTGTGTTTTCTGTATCTTTTAATGGATATACTTTTTTGTAAGGAAACAGATCTCCATATCTCTTATGCAAATTCATGATTGCCTTCCGAAGAGCAATGGCTTGCTTAGCTATCTGAAGTACTAGTATAGCACGATTCTTGGAGTAGACAAACATATCCATTAGAAGGACAGTCTTGAGTTCATAGTTCTCAAGAACCATTTTAATTTGCTTAACAATAGCCCTGGAAATTGCTGTTGTCTCTAGGCTGACTATGACCACAATGCAAACATATGTCCAGTTCGTAATTTTGATTGTATTTTGATCCATGGCTGCCATATCTTTAGTCTCTCAACAATCTTAACTAGGTGAGCAGCTGTCATCTTTCTTGTGGCAATGATGTCAGTCATTTCAAGTGTTGCACATATTATCTTCCATCTTGTACACAAATATTCCACAGTGGCTCTGTCTTTCTAAGATTTCCTACAATGATTATCATGTCTGCCATCCCCATAAAAGTAAGAGTGTGCTTGATATTGTCTGAGGCCTGAACTGTAGCCAACGACTCTGTCAGCTCAGGAGTCACAACTGGTCGAACTCATTTGAATACTGACTAGCCTGCAACCGAGCATCCAGCATATACTAGTTAGGATGTCGCAACCTTCTGCAAACTCAAAGTCAGTGAGTATAATTTCAGAGAGCTTATAGAAAAGTTTGAAAGGGTTTGAGAGGTCTAATAACATGTTCAATTATTTCCAATTTCAGTTCAGATCTTGTATAAGGTTCTTGCTGGGGTGCTGTCATGTTGGTGTGCTCTTGATTGTTGTGGTTCTCAGCTTTTTTTTATTTTTTTGTCGTTCTTACCACCTATGTTACATAGTATATGGGATCTTTTGTAAAACACATACAATGACGATTGCAAGTATAACTAGATCTCGTCGAAAAAACGACAATACTTAATTAATATCAGAAGACCGGGAAAATTACATTTCATTGTTGAAAATTTTGGTGTTTCGCAGAGAATAACATAGACAATTTTACAAACTTACCTCTGACACTCCACGTCTTCAACGACGCAAAATCAGCTATTGGTAATCGAACGTACAGAACTTAGCTACGACAATCTTCCTGATAACGTGGAATGTAAAATACATAGAATATTTATGAAAAGAAAAATAGTTCGTAACGACGAAAGCTACGTTTGTAGATTTCCTCGTTGTCACTACATTAGGTTTGTTCGCGTTGCTTGCACTTTTGACACTTAATGCCTGTTGCACATCAAACGTGATGAACGAAATCCAATGAGAGTTCTTCTTTCGAAAAGAGATTCAGTGTGTATCGGGCGTAGGTGTAAAAGTGTAGAAATTGCAGGTAACGCGAACAAACCTATTGTCTGCTCTTTTACACGAAAAGTACAACTAGGGCAAATTTGCAGCGTGAGGCTGATATTACATGCGTCATATGACAAGCATTTCGGATACGTTCATTGGTTGGTTCGCTGATAGCTCACGTTACAGCCTTACAGCCATATTCTTACAACTATTGTAGACGAGCCTTTACCCTCTCCATCGTCATTATGCTCAAAGGAAACCGTCAAATCCATTTAAATTTGTTCTTTACTTGTGCTTGTGCTGTGATGATCCGCACATGATTTGCGTTCCTGTGTTCTTTGTAGAACCTTCGAATACAATTCTGCCTTGAAGAGCGAGTTTAGTGCAGTATAAAACATTGTCGTTACATTAAAACGAAGATGAACAGAACAAAATCGAGAAATGGGAAAGCCGCGAAAGCAACAAAGACAGCTAGGTAAGCAAAGAACAGTCTCATGACTAGAAAATTACTTTGTTCTACTCTAAATAAAAGACAGAATAATTTAATTGATATATTTATAATATATTATATTACTTGATTTAATAAATATTCAGAAAAAGTTACACTTTACCACTTACGAAGTAAATGTACCTTATAAAAGAATAATCCAGAAAAAAGCATAAAATCATTTAAATTTTATCTTGCTATATCTTGATAATTAATGCCATTTCCTACTTATTTCTTCTTGGAAATATTTTTAAACAATTTTTCTTAGCGTTAGCATCAAGAGTAGAGGTCAGATATAGGATTTTTTGAATTTTTTTACTTTTCCTGACAAGTTACCAGTAATATTATTGTTTAGCAGCATCAAAAACTCAGCTACCCAGACTGTGGATTCTAATATACTCACAGAGATCACCAAGCTGCAGAAACAAGTGGAATGTTTGCAGCTTGAAAATGATTTTCTTAAGAAACAAATATCAGCTTCTGCAAGAACTAATAATCCTGTGGATGTGTTACCTCTTAATAAAACACAGGAGATGCCTAAATTTAATATTAAAGCAAGTGTTTGCGGATGTAAAGGAGATTGTTCATCAAAAAGATGTAGATGTATGAAAGAAAGTAACAAATGCACAGCGTTATGCAGATGTAGCAATGAAATCTGCCAAAATCAGGTAACGCTTATTGTTTTATATATTCTTTTTTATTGTTTGGAACAATTTTAAGAAATCTTTACCCTCTATAGGAAATAAAAGATCAAGATGAAGAGTCAGATACAACAGATAAAGAAAATATTTCTAATATGGCAACTCCAAAGAAGGAACTGACTCAGAATAAAGTTTCAATAAAAACAAAAGACAATTTAATAAGTGACAAAATTATATGTGGTACAGAAGTAAGTATTATATTTTACACAAAAGAGATATTTCCTTTTTTGATTAATATTCGTTAACATGATTATGAAATATATAACAATCATTTCTTTTCTCTTTTTGCATATGCATAAGGAACAGTTTGATCCAATGAAACCAAGACATCAGTTATCACGAACACCTCCAAGAAAAAATGAATCTGTAGATGAAAAGATTCATGTGGATAACAGGAATCTTTTAAAACCTCAGTTACCTCCATCACCTCAAATAATAGCTTCATCCTTCAACATGAAAGGTATACTATCTTTTCCAATATTAAAACAAAACATGCCATTGTTTACCAATCATTGTATTATTACTAAAATCTTACATTATAATAGAGAATCAAGATTTAGAAGATTTCTCAAGTATGGAGAAAGTAGTTGACTGGATGCAACACACGGCACAACTGATTCCTTGCAAAAAATGCAAAAGAACTTTTATGCCACATAGAATCCAGAAACACGAAGCCTGTTGTAAGAAAATCTAAGCACATTGAATGTACTGATATTCTCAGTACAGTGCAATCGTCAAGTTACAAGTATCATACTGCCTTTCTCCCAAAATAATCAATTAGTAAACTTTATTTCATTGCAAAATGGATATGGAATTGTTATTTTATATTGAATATGATGTATATAAATTGACACTTATAAAGTATTGCAAGATTTATTAAAGAATAGCAACAAGATTATTTAACTCTCTCTCTGTGACTATTTTTAACGCAATTTAATTTTTAAATATATCTTATTATTATAGTAAACTTAATTTTTTTTTTCAACTTCAAGTATCTTCATGATAGATTAGTATGAAGTTTTTAGTTTTTAACAAGTTGTGTATATATATATAATTTGTATTTTGACAATTTTGTTTAGAAATGAAGTTGTATAAAAAATAGAAAAGCAATATATACACAATTTATTGAAAACTAAGATTTATACTAATCCATCATGAAGATATCACGCTTAAAGTTGAAAAGAGAAAATGAATTTTATTATGAAATGAAAAAATATAACATATTTTGTTATATCAAGAGATATTGTAACATATATTTTTAAGTATATTTACAAATAATGGATTATAGTATATTTCATTCGTAATCGTGTAACAATCTTTTTTTATATAAATAAAAAACAAGTTGCTCTAATAAACCAACCGTTTTCATCAACACGATCTCTCTCTTTTTCTTTGCTTTGTTACTAGCTTTTCGCCAATGAATAAACATTAGACACAGTATAAATCTTATCGTTTAAATTTGGTTCTTGTAAATGCGCAAGTTCTCGCAAGAGGTCCCCACTTAGAACCTACCTCCGACCGGAAGTTTCCATCTCTCGTCACTTTTCACCCTTGATTGATCTTTTGGTGTGTCGAAGCGTTAACGAGTTGAAAGTAGTAAGAATCTCGTGGACGCGTGATTTTTCATAAAAAAACGCAAAATGGTAAGTTCTAGTCGATAGAATAAATGCTACGAGATGATTATCAATGTATCATTCGCTTACTCAGCCACGTTTCACAGAATGCTTCATTTCTATAGATACTTGATAGCGACGTTTTACACATTGTTGTATATCATTTGTACTCTGATTTCACATTACATTACATTTTTACAATAAAGAATAGTCGACGCGATGACACGACAGTCAATTCGATTGCATTTTCGCGAGTCGATTTGTCGGCTTTATTGATCTGATATTCTAACCTTATAAGGACATTCATTTCGCCGCTACCTAACACACATACACACTTATACAGACACATGCCAGAAATACCGTCGATTTTAGTGATATAGTCGTCTTTTCTAAAAATTGTATTAAAAATATTCTCAGGAAAAAATAAATTTGTTTTATTTTGATTTTGAAATTTGCCAGACATCTTATAATTTAATTTATATAAATAATATACATTGTAAATTTAGGAGATGGAAAAACATGCAATATTATTGTTTTCTCAAAGATTATATATTTTTTTATGTAAAATTTAATATATACTTTGTTATAATTACTTTATTTTCAATTTTATATAGCAACCACAAATAATCTTATTGAAAGAAGGCACAGATGCATCTCAGGGCAAGCAACAATTGATATCCAATATAAATGCATGCCAGATTGTTGTTGAGGCTGTCAGGACCACTTTGGGTCCTCGTGGCATGGATAAGCTGATAGTAGATCAAAATGGAAAGAGCACCATCTCTAATGATGGTGCTACCATCTTAAAATTATTAGACATTATTCATCCAGCTGCAAAGATCTTGGTGGATATTGCAAAATCACAGGATGTAGAGGTAAGGACTATATTTATTTGTTTATTATTATTTATAAAATAATGTAACATTTATTTGTGTAATATTATACATACATACACACATACATACATACATACATACATACATACATACATACATACATACATACATACATACATACATACATATATATATATAAATTTATAAAAAGATTCATAAAAGTCATAAATTATATATTTTTTATGAATGTACATGAATATACATATAGTTATCATGTATATTTATACATTTATCATTTCTATATTCATGTATATGTATATTCATATATGTTTCAGAAATGTCTTAAATATCCTAATTGTACTATAGACAAAAATATTAAATAAAAGTAACAATAAAAAATTAGGGAGCAAAGAAGATGATAGGAAAAAGTATCTTTAGATATTACGCAAATATTACATCATTGTGTTCAATGTTCAGGTGGGAGATGGTACGACTAGCGTCGTCCTGTTGGCGGGAGAATTTTTGAAGCAGATGAAACCATTTATAGAAGAGGGTGTACATCCGCGTATAATCATCAAGGCGCTCCGTCGCGCCCTGCGATTAGCCGTGGATAAGATAAACGAGCTGAGCGTGAAGATAGACAAAAGTGATCTCAGCAAGCACATCAATCTCTTGGAGGAATGCGCGGCTACGTCGATGAGCTCGAAGCTGATACATCAGCAGAAGAAACACTTCAGCGAGCTGGTAGTCAAAGCCGTCCTTATGTTGGACGATTTGCTTCCGCTCAATATGATTGGTATTAAAAAGGTACGCATGTAACTTTTAAAACCCCTCAGTCCTTGCCGCCACCATCTTGATTTATGACGTCAAAAGCAAAAATATACGCTAAGAATTCTTGTGCTAAAAATACAGAGAAAAAATTTATTTATAAAGTGATCTATAAATTTTTATTTCTACATATTTTGGGACAACTTTTAGCGTATCTTTTTTTTCATTTCTGATGTCATCAGTCAAGATGGCTGCGACGAGGAGCCTGGAGTCTTGATCAAATTAAAACATCTTAAATAAAATTTGTATTAGATAAACATATTTATCTAATAAAAATTTCAACATTTCTAACAATGTACTTTGCAGATTTCCGGTGGTGCATTGGAGGACTCTGAACTGATACAAGGAGTCGCCTTCAAGAAGACCTTCTCTTACGCCGGATTCGAGATGCAGCCAAAGAAGTATCAGTCGTGCAAGATCGCACTGCTGAACATCGAGTTGGAGCTGAAGGCCGAGAGAGACAACGCGGAGGTGCGCGTTGACAACGTGACGGAGTATCAGCGAATCGTCGACGCGGAGTGGCAGATACTCTACAACAAGCTCGACCAAATTCACAAGAGCGGTGCAAAGGTCGTGCTGTCGAAGTTGCCGATTGGCGACGTCGCAACGCAGTACTTTGCGGATAGGGACATGTTCTGCGCCGGCAGAGTGCCCGACGAGGATCTCAAGAGGACAATGAAGGCGTGTGGCGGCGCAATCTTATCGACGGTGCATGATATCAAAGATTCCGACCTCGGACAATGTCAGACCTTCGAGGAGAAGCAGATCGGTGGCGAGAGGTAATCGATTTCAAACTTATAAGCATTCTTTACTTGTAAGTAGCAACGAGGGACTCCAAAAATCATCTTAGACTCGGAAGATGACTCAAATGCGGAAATCTGACTTTTGAGAGATTATTTCAATTGTTGATATCAAATATCATAATTGATCAATCGATTATATCTTTCAGGTTCAATATCTTCTACGAATGCTCGCGAGCGAAGACGTGCACGTTCATCTTGCGCGGAGGCGCCGAGCAATTCCTTGAGGAAACTGAGAGATCGCTCCATGATGCGATTATGGTCGTCAGACGCATGGTGAAGAATGATGCGGTGGTCGGCGGCGGCGGCGCGATTGAAATGGAGCTGTCCAAGACTCTGCGCGATTATTCCCGCACTATTGCGGGCAAAGAACAGCTCCTGATAGGAGCGACTGCGAGGGCTCTTGAAGTTATTCCGAGGTATGTTCAATGATCGTGATTTTTTCTTCTAACTTCAAAGCTTGCGAGGAATGAAGATTATGAAGCAATTTTAACAAGTCACTTGAAGTATTTCCAAGCACCTTTTTTAACTTTGAAATATTTAAAAGTTTTTACTTGTCATGAATTTACTCTGGAAGAAGACTCATCAACTATAACTGTTATAACACGTGCATCGTTCACAGGCAACTCTGCGACAACGCTGGCTTCGACGCGACGAATATTCTAAACAAATTGCGTCAGAAACACCACATGGGCATGCACTGGTACGGCGTAGACATCAACTCGGAAGATATTGCGGACAACATGCAAGACTGCGTCTGGGAACCCGCGGTGGTGAAGATCAACGCGTTGACAGCCGCGATCGAGGCCGCGTGTCTCATATTATCTGTCGACGAGACCATAAAGAATCCGAAGAGCACTCATGACGCGCCGCAACCGCCGATGGGACGCGGCATGGGCAGGCCCATGTAATGTCAAACGGACAAATAAATGTCTAATGAGTTATGGCTAAAATGCGAATCGAAAGCTATCGGAATAACGAATAATGCAAATAATGAGCCATTAATAACACCAGCAACGGTTGGCGCGATTAATAATTGAAGTGAATGAACAAATGAAATTTTATTCGAAAATTTGCTCGCGCAATGCCTAACTCTGGTTTGTCGGCCGTGTTCACTCGATTTTAAGAGAAAATTAATATAACGAAGCAAAGTATATTGCTTTTAATAACAAGAGCAATATCGCATTTACAAGATAAACATGGGAACGATGAGCAACGGCATATATGAGCGTACATGAATACTTGCAATTTTACTTTATCCAACGTTGTCGATCTACGCATTGTTCGTTGTACACATCGAATGAAACAGCATACGTTATCTAAGAAATCTGTTATTTTCAGTGGAAAAATAAAGTTTTGAAATTACGAGACAACCAATAGATTTTATAAAAAGAATGACCATATTAATTACACAGCGCTATACACGACGTTCCACACTCACGTATATTAAATAAAAATGTCAAAGAAAAAAACCGCGCTCAGGGAACTTCTTACAAAAATAAAACAAAATTTTAAGTCTGAGTACACAAAATAAACGGCACATTTCAATATGAATATTACATATACAGAGAGAGATATTGTAGGTGCCTTAGGCGGTAACGAATTATTATAACTAAAGCTAAGACTCCATACATGCGGTGAACTCCGGCAAAATGCTGCGGTGACTAATCAGAAACCAGGCGCAGATCGGGCTGCGGCAAGCTCCAGCATGAGCTTGGTTTCTGATTGGTCACCGCAGCATTTTGCCGGAGCTCACCGTATGGAGTCTTAACGCTTAATACTGTAATTCGTCTTGATGCGACACGTGTTTCAACGTCGTCTCTTCATCCCAATAACTGAAATACAACAATAGTCAGAGGCTGATGATTTCATTAAAACCAAACATCCAAAAATACTCTCTTACCTTTTCTTTCTTGCAGAAGCTCCTTCCTCTTCTTCTGTTGGTCGGCCGTCAAATTCTCGATCATACTCTCGATGAAATTGTCTAAAACTAACGATCTGTTCATCGACATCACCGGTTTCCTACAGACTGGACAATCCCTCCGTTTCTTGTACCACGCGTTTATGCAATGGTGGCAGAACGTGTGCATGCAATTCAAGGTTGTCGCGTTTACAAACAATTCCGAGCATATGCTGCACGTCAGCTGCTCGTCCATGATGTCGCTCACTTTCCCGAGAACACCTTCCTTAGTGTTCGTCTCTATGCTCTGACTGAATCCAGTCAAGTCGATTGTATCTAATATTTGAAATCCCTGAGGCTGATTCACATCCACGAGCTCCACGAATATGCAATTGTCGGACGAACTGGGCTCAGTTATCATGTTCGCTGAAAGTAAAAATTCAAGAAACTCAGTAACTTATAAAATACCCGCCTTTTACAACATTCGATGAGTTTATTTTCTCACTGCAAATAAATTATCATCTTTTTATATATGTTTTTGTTATAAACTTATGCTTATGTTAAAAATTTTTGTTACAATTTTATATATATATATATATATTAGTATTTGTGAGAAATAATACTACTAATCAACACCATACAATGGTGAGTAATTTGGAAAAACGTCGAACTCATCGAGACGTACCGTTCAATATCGCTTGCGAGGTTACCGCCTTTGCTTCTTGTTCCTTTAAGGCTTTCTCAGTCTTCTTCAGTCTTTCTTCCAGCATATTCTTCTCGTTCAACAGTTGAGCTTGAATAGTCTTCTCCTCATTCACTTTGCTCTCCATCATCCTTTTCCAATCAGCTTGCTGCTGTTCTCTCCATCTCTCCATTTGTTCTTTCATTTTCATCTCTAATATTTCCTTCTCTTGTTTGCTCATTTCCAATGCCTCTTGCCACTTCTGCTTCTCTTCATTTATTCTCAATTCGAACTGCTGTCTCTCATTCTCCAGTTTCTGCAGTAATTGAGAGTACATGCTGTGCAGATGTCGCTCCTGCATGTTACCTGCCTCTATTTTGCTCTCCAATGTCGCAATCTGTTTGATCAGATTTTCCTTGTCATCTTTGGCAGCTGCTTGCTGCGACAACAGTTCCTCAAGTTGCTGTTTCAACTCCTCTTGCTCCTTATGTTTGATTTCCAGCTTGTCTTTGAGCTCCTTCCTCTGACACTCTTGGTTCTCAGCAAAAGTCCTCTGCTTAGTGAGCATAGTATCGAGGACTTTCTCATCCAAACGTGGCCTCTTAACACAGTGACCTCTTTCAGCAAAACTAAACACATATTTGCACATTGAGTTACAACCAAATTGTATGATATCACCAGGATTAACTCGTTGTATTTCTCCTTGTTTAATGGTGAGATTATTGACAAACGTGGACGAGGAACTCAAGTTCTTCACGCTCCATTCGTCCTGGCCTTCGCATCTGAACACACAATGCTTTCTGGATACTGTGACGTCCAAGATGATCTCGTCATTATCTCTTGCTCGGCCGATTTTGAACTGTCAAAAGACGTGTCAAAAGACACGAAGCTGTGTCTCAGAAATTTACATGTACGTTTTCGTAGATTCATGCATAATTTATTCATCACTACTGATAATTGAATGAGTATTTCTCTAACCTCGTTTTTATCAATACGAATGAGCTCTTGCTGGTCGACTCTCGTGAGAAGTGGTTCGAGAACTTTCAGTTCCATCTGTTCGGTCGTAGGCCTTTTCGTGCGTTCCATCGTGCTTATTCGATAATCCCGAGCAACCGTGTCGAGCGTAAGACAACATCGGCCACAATGAACAAGTCGGAGGTCGCGCTCTACGCTTCTTCTTTGTGGAAAGTGCGCAATATGTCAAATTGAACGTCGAAACCTCGCGGAAGATTTCACGTGTTATCGCGCAGAACACAGTCGCAGCGGTAGAGAAGAACGGAGGGGCAGAGGGCGAGAAACTCTTGTTACAAACAAATCTGAACCGTGGCAAGACAAACTCTGCGACCCGCGAAAAGACGTCATGCGCAAATTGGACATTAATCAAACTCAAGGGCTGCGTTCACTTTGGGCGCTTATGCGCTGTAAGCGTCATTCTATCTCCTTCCCGCATGTAATGAGTGATAAAGATAGAATGACGCTTACAGCCCGTAAGCGTCCAAAGCGAACGCAGCCAAAATCTAGAAAACAATCTCTTCAGATCATGGAACATAGAAAAACTCAAGATTTATGCAGGATTCACATCGTGTCAATATCCGACGTACGACGTCCGATATCCAATAGGAGAACAGCTTTCTAATATAGAATTCAATTCTCCATTGAAAAGCTATTCTTTTATTGGATATCGGACGTCATATGTCGAATATCGATATGAATCCTGTGTTGATTCTAGCCAAATATTGAAGGAAGGAAGGAATCCTGTGTTGAGATTAGGCGAGTTTTTTAATTCATCGATGAATCCATCGCGTAAATACAGCGAAACATTGCATTTGCGCATCATGCGATGGATCCATCAATGAATTAAAAACTCGACCATTCTGTAACTCGTTATTGGAGTTAACGACAGTTTCATTATCGTTGTGCAGCTTTTGTATATCGTAAAAAAGCTGCGTAATGATAACGAAACTGTCGTTAACTCTAATAACGAGTTACAGAATCCCAGCACCGGATCTTTATTCTTGAAATAGTTGTGTATACGTAAGTTGTACTACGCAGGTTTAATCATACCATAAAATAACTGCGCAATGAAAATTACGTATACGCAAAAATTTCAGGAATATGGGCCCTGCATTATATCCAATTTCTTTACCTCCGATTAACTTTAGCTACCAGTTATTCTATTTGAATTGGCCAATCATAGAGCGAGTTTTTAATTCATCAATGGATCCATCGTCTATATTTATGGTTGCATGAAAAAAAATTTTTATTTACCGACCGTCTATAAAAAGCTTTTTATTTACCGACCACTGGTAAATAAACAATTTTTTATTATTTCATGCAACTTTTTAGCACGCATTACGCATTCACTAACATTTGTGCTTTCAATCTGTAATAGCACTTTCAATTTAATGCATTTAATTGAAAGAAAAGAGAAATTTACGGAATTACGTTATGTCAGTATCCACTATCGTCTTAAACATAGCAAAATGAAGAAATGTTATATTGGAACGTTTTTTTTAGATTTTTAGAACACATTCACTGTTCAACTCCTTTCACAAAGAGTAAGACACCAAGTGTTTCCGTGGTGTAGTGGTTATCACATCCGCCTAACACGCGGAAGGTCCCCGGTTCGATCCCGGGCGGAAACACACACTTACTTTTTGACATTTTTTTATTATTAAAAATACTTATTATTTTTATTTTGTATTATATCGGTATACAGCATACTCTTAAGAAAAAGGATAGAGAAAAGAGACACTTTGGTATCCTGTACTTATTACGAAAATGTATTATTTATTTAGTATAATTAAATACATTAATATAATTAAAAAATGCGATAAGACTTTACATCGTTCACACGTGCAAGTGCGCATCGAATCCTATACAACTTATAATTGTTTATAAATCACATCGATAAATTACAATAGCATAAAAGAAGAGAGAGAGAATAACGTTTTGCGCACGCTCACGCCAAAGTCACGACCACGGGTGCCTCGTCGTCCGCGTCCTCGAGCAAATTCGAAAAGTCCCACAAGAATTTCGCGGTCAAACGTTCTTGCAAGCGCTTCGCGTAGGACTTCAGCCGACCATCCACCTCAGTGTTCGACTCGATGTTACCAAACAGTTTGCATAGCTTTTGATACACGAAATTGTTGCTCGCCACGATGTCGCACAGTATTTCCTCCGGCACATACGACAGCTCTACTTCCAAAGCCTGTAAGAATTCTATGTAAACGGAACGATACTGGGGGATCGCGTGGTCCGCGTCACAGATAAGCGACACAAGTTTCTTCCATTGTTCGAACGCGTCCAAGCTTTGACCAGCCAGGAAACAGACGAACGTCAGTTGCATCTCGCCGATGATCTCAACAGGCCTGAAGAAAAAAATACGCGCCGGTATTATATATATCAAAATAAAAAATAAACCTTTCTATAAGGAGACCCGTGCATATAAGTATACTGTTTATCATATTCTAATGTACTGTATTCCAATTATAAATTATATTCCACTTATAAAAATTCTTTTGTTAATATCTTTTTAATAAATAAAGAGCGTCGATTAAGATCTTTTGCACGTTACTCAGGGATGTAATCTTGATAACATATATCAAGGTCAAGGTCATAGGAAGTGGGTTTCTTAAAGATTTACTCAAAATAATATCATATATAACAATATAGTACATATAGCACATTAGAAAAACAGAAGAGTCAGTTAACGAGAGGTTCTTGCTACAAAAGTTAATAATAAGTGGTATTTCCAAAACTCACTCTCGCAATTTTCTCAGGGTAGCGCTTAAGGCGTAACTGGAATCGAGAAAGTGCCGTGTGATCTCGCTGGGAGTCGCATCGTCGGGGTAACGTTTGTCTGGTATTTCTGTGAGCCTAAGTTCTGTTCCTGGCTTTGGTTTCAAGTCTGGTAACAGCTCCTCTTCCTTGTCTTCTACCGTAAACTTTCCGGACCTCCTCCGTTTCTTGCACTCGGACTCTCCGCCGCGCGGTCTCAAAGCGTCACTACAGTGCTCCAATTCCAGCGCGGATCGCACGTAGCTGAAAAAGAATTTGAGAACGTTTTAGTGTTCACGTAACGCCTATGTATCGAACCATGTATTAAGGATTGCAATCAGGTCAGTCGAATCATCTAAATCTTGATTACACTTTATTTGATTGATCCGGTTGCAATCCTCAATCCATAGTCTGATGCGAGTATCAAGGCTCTCGGTCCTTCGCCGGGTCTATCTTGATTTCTGACGTCAGAAGAGTGAAGAAACGCATGCCTAAAATTCCTGCAAAATACTCCAAAATTAAAAAATATGTCTAGAAAGTGATACTTGCAATAGATTAAGCATACTTCTAAAATACTCCTTTTTTCAATAAACAAGCATAAAATTAACGTGACCAAATATTGAGAAAATGTAGGCTGCATTACGTTAATTTTATTAATTGCTAGAGTGAAAGGAAAGTATTTGGAGTATATTAGAGGTGTGCTCATTTTGTGAATATATATTTTTTCTTTAACATGTTTTGCAGGAACTTTGAGCATACATTTTCTTGCTTCTGATGTCATCAATCAAGAGTTCCTCAGTAAGGGGCCAGGAATTTTAGAGATATTCATATTTTTCCTCACCCACACAGTGGAGAACATCTTTCCATGAGAGACACGTTAATCTTGCTTATCAATTCTGACCATTGTTTCCAAATTTCATATGGATATGGCCCTAAATACCTATCCAAATCTTTCAAGTTATCCTTCAGCTTCTGAACTGTCTCTTCAGGTACAGCTGTTGTTTAAAGATCTCATGTGGAATTTTGTATACAGGATAATGTGAGTTGCAAATAACAATTGTGTTTACTTACATTCTGAGCTGATTTCTTCTTCCTTGCTGTCCCATTTCTTTACTAATAACTCGCACTTTTTAAAGTCATGAAGAAAACCAACTCTTGGTGCCATCTCACCAAATTCATTTACAGCACTGTTAGAATAGAAATAATATTGGATCAATCAAGATTAGAATGAGAACAGAAAGATTGTTGGATAATCACTCAATATATTGATTGAGTATTGATGTATGCAAAGAAACATCTCTATGAGCATGATTCTATAAAAGCTAAAGTTATAAGGCATACTTTACCTATAGTGCACGTAATGAATCCCAGGTGGGATCATTTTAATGCCTTTAAAGTTCCCTTCCGTGTTCCATGACTTTATGTCGATTCCAATATCAGTGCCTACTGGTACGTCCAGCAAAATCAATGTGGCACCTTGAGTGAACAGGGTTTGCGCAACATTTTGGTCCATTTCCATCTTGTATCCTGATTGTATTTTTCTTTTACAACTGTATTCGCATTTTTTATGTAACCGACACAAGCAAATGTCTCTTGTGACATCAAATAATTTTTAACAGCATACACAATAAAAATTTTATATGTAAACCTTAACTTTTACAGCACTATAACTCCTTAACATAATCTAATATTTGTTCAACCGCACAATATCACAACGAAAAATATCTAAAATAAGTCCACTTACTCGGACATTAACAGATTAGTCATTTAACATTTATTGTAAATCATCCAACGCATATTAACAATCAGCAAACTGTTTATTATTAACAGGTAAAATATGCTTCAACGAGTAGCGACATCTATGGAGCGAGCGCTAAAAATTCGCCTGACTCGTCGTTGAGTAGCTCCACTCGAAACTAGCGAGCCATCCGACTCGCCGTTGAGTCGTACTACCTCGATTTTCCGGCGGTGACAGTGGAGGCTCGTAGCGGAGACTTTAAGAATTAAAGTAACGGGTTCGGTCATAACGGGTCGTTCAGTCGAGATTGGCTGTTGGATAGGGAATCCTGAAACTACTCGAAGAAGACTTTCGCGTGTCGGACGCGAAATCCAGCAAAACGTCGACATGATTCCACATTTAACCGCTACATCCCGTGCCGGCCGTGAACAGTCGCAGGGCGACTCCCATCTCGACGAGCCTCCGAGCAGGTGGAAGAAATCGTAAGTACGACATTCCGCGCGTGCTGAGGTTCACCGAAAGCAGGGGAACGCGACGTATCCCCACTCCTGAACGCTCCTTGGTCTCTCTCTCCCACTACCGAGACCTGTTCCGGATGGTCAGTAGGTTGCCAGAAAGGAGCAACAGGCTGATACGCCTTGCCTCGCTTGCACGGCTACGGGGAGGTGCGCAGCGACTTCTGTGCCGCGACACAACACACCAGCGCGCAGTAGCGGCGGGCGCAGTGGGAGAGAGGAAGACAGACTGAGGGAGAAAGGGAGAGATACCGTTTCCCCGCGATCACGGAGACGCGCGTGCACACACGACGAGTGTCAACGCGACGCGACGCAACGCAGCGCAGCGCAGCGCAACGGGACGCGCAGCGGTGACGGTGCTGGATCCCCAGTCGTGACATCGTGCACCAGAAGCGGACACGCGTACGGACGGACAGACAGACAGACGGGCGGCGCGGCGAGGTCGAGTCGGGCCGCGAATAATCCGAGAAGAATATAGCCGTGCGGCCTCTCCCCTTCCCCGTCAGCGCGTCGCGTCGCGTCGGGTTCGCGTTCGTTCGCCAACGAGCGAGTGAGCGAGCGAACGAACGCGACTTCCTCCGAGGGCCTTCTCATGCCGGAGCCTCGCCATCATCGTCCAGTCGTTTCGCCGAGGCAGGAGCGATCGCGATCCTGAGATCGTCTCACCGCGATTGTCGCGTCCGCCGCGTGTGTGTGTGTGTGTGTGTGTGTGTGTGCACGCGCGCGCGCGCGCGCAGTGCCGTAATCGTCGAGCGGTGGGTATCACGTATAATCATCATCGTCGTCGTCGTCAGCAGCAACCGTGCTCGTCGAGGTAGTCGTCCTCTCGTCGTCATCGTCATCGCCGTTCGGAGAACTCGAAGAGAACGGAACGACGAGAGTGTGTTCGTTTTCCCCTTCCTCTTCCCTCCCTCCGTTCTAAACTGTGATTTGATCCTCCTTCTCTCTCTCTTTTCGAATGTGCAGTGTGATCTGTCGGCCGACCACCCGGACGTCAACGTCGTCGTCGCCGCCGCCGTCGTCGTCGTCGTGGCTACATCGCCGACGTGCGTCGTCATCGGCTAAGAGGCCAGTAGCGCTGCTGTGGTGAACGCGAGGTGGGAACTTCTTCGGATTGCGTCTGAGAGAGAGAGAAGGAGAGTGAGCAGCGCGCTCGCTCTCTCTGTTCCTCCCACTCTGCGTCTCTCTCTCTCTCTCTCTCTCTCTCTCTCTCTCTCTCTCTCTCTCTTTTTTCTCGGGTCGCGTTTCCTGCGCTCTCGCACGCGCTCGAGAGTCCACGCAGGTAGGGCGAGCCGATACCAGCCAGCCGGAGAGGTGGGATTGACTGCGAGGAGAGCGAGTTTCGTAGTCGCGACCGGTGTTGGCCGCCCGTAACGCGCAGATCGGCGAGCGCGATCGGGCGTGAGACGAGGAGGCAGCAGGGGGCGAGAGAGGTGGGCTACGAGGGGACCATCCTCGTCGGTATCGCGGAGGACGACGCTGCTGGTGGTCGTGGCGACGGCGACGGTGGAGTTACCCCGGTGATTTGATTCCACCACGGTGAAATAATGCGCAGGTGAAGAACGGAGGAGGAGGAGGAGGAGGAGAAGAAGAAGAAGAAGGAGAAGAGAAGAAGAATACCACCGAAGTCGTCGTCGTTGTGGGAACGAGAGGAGAGGTGTTCGCGGAGAAGAGCACGCAGCAAGATCCCTGCATCGTACGCGCTTACGTAGGTGCGTGAGGGAAGAAATTAACGGAGTGAAGAAAAAGGAAGAGAAGGAATCACAGAAACAGCCGCGATCCGAAGCGACGCAGCAGCAGGAGGAACAACGCAGAAGAGGAGGAGGAGAACGTGGAGGTGATATCGGACGAGAAAAGAAAGACAAAGAGATAGTCCAGGCGAACGAGGTAGAAGAGCCAGCGAGCGAACGAACGAGCAAACGAGCAAGTTAGCTAGCTAACGTGCGTGAGTCAAAATGGCGCTGAACCAGGACGTGGACCAGTTGACCAAGAGCAACCTCGTGGTAAGGGTCGACCAGAATTCCGAGTCAGACCTGCAGGCGCTGTTCGACACCGTGCTGAAGCCCGACTCGGCGCGGGTGCCGCTGACGGTGCCGCTGCGCATGCGCAAGCTGCCGGACTCCTTCTTCACTCCACCGTCCACCGGCAGCAAGAGCCCGTCGATCTCGCACTCGCGCGAGAACTCCGCGGATTCCGCGTTCGGCACCGCCGCCGCGACACCGAGCAACGCCGGCGGCGGCGGCGGCGGCGGCGGTAGCGCGCCCAACGGCGGCGCGAACGGCAGCGGTGGCGGCGCAGGAGGCGCGGGTGGCGGCGCAGGCGGTGGTAACGCTGCCACAGACGCCGGTGGTGCCGGTGCGGGTGGCGGCGGCGCAGGCGGTGGCGGAGGCGCCGCCGGAGGCGGCGGTGCGGGCGCGAACAGCGCCGCAGGTGCGGCCGCGGCAGCCGCTGCGGCCGCCGCCGCCGCCGCAGCCGGCCTCACCGTCGCTCATCCCCGCGCCCATAGCAGCCCAGCCTCCCTTCAGCAGACGTACGCCTCAGCGCAGCAGGCGCCGCAGCACGCGCCGCAGCCGCACGCGCGTCACCACCACCATCATCAGAAACAGCGCAGCTACGACGTCATCAGCACGGTCGACGACCTGGGCCCGTTGCCGCAGGGATGGGAGCAGGCGCGCACCCCCGAGGGCCAGATCTACTTCCTCAAGTGAGTAAGAGAGCATGTCTTTCTTTTGCCTCCGCTTCGCTCTCCTTCCCCGTTTCTAGCCCCCTCGAGAGAAGGATGCGTTTCTCCGTTATCCAGACACTCTGGTGGATTCCACCATCGTGATTAGCGTTTCGGGGCTTTCAGGTAGTCGGACGACTCGAGTTTATCTCGGCAGATAGGCAGATTGTTGAACGGCTCAGGTAGATAGAAGCGTCGCAGGTAGCAGTGGTGGCGGCCGATCGAGCTCGACAGGTCGCTATGACCGTGCGAGACGCGTCGCTCGGTCAGCCGGCGGCATTTGAATCTATACTCGAGGAAATGATCGCTAACTTTCGTAGATCGGCAGGTCTGACATGATTGATAGGAGGTAATTACTGATATTCTACCAATTATATGGATATGATTATGGAATTACATTGTAGACTTAGTGGGTAGAAAATTTGTAACGCTCCTTCTTTCGATAGACCTTCCGAATGCATTTGGCATTTAACTGGCAAATTGATCTTCTCAGAATTGTTAAGAAATAAATTCTCTTTTATTACACATATAGATGCGCTTTGTGATTTATTGAAAACAAGTGTGTTGCGATCTTTCTGCCATCAATCATACTGACGTTCTTCGAGTTTTCAGTATTCGGGTCCGTTGTATCAAATTTCCACTTGACGCGAAACGAAAGAGAAACAATCGAGCAGGTTTAAGCGATTTGGGAAACGGAGTTTCGACATAGTACGCTCCTGGACTTTGCTCTCTCTTTCTCTTTCTTGCTGGCTCTCTCGCTCTCGGCTCTCCGATGCCTTCGCAGGTATGCCTCTTAGGCCTCCCACCATGCGTCTCAGCTTCCCAACCTGATCCACCTGCGCCGCCGTGACTGCCGGGGGATTCTCACATGTCACCTGTCGTGGGAAACTCCGCTGTTGTGTCGCTCGCTCCGTCGTCCCCTTCGTCCTTCTTTCCCCTCTGCCTTCATCGTCCTCTACCTCCCCGTGGTTGACCCTACAGACTTTATGCGGTTGATGCTTTTCTCTTTCTTTCTTTCTCTCTCTCTCTCTCTCTCTCTCTCTCTCTCTCTCTCTCTCTCTTTCTCTTATTTTTTTCTTGGATTTGGAAGCATCCCTTTTGTCGTCCGTTACTCGCCACAACGTAAGAGAAGAAGCAACTCGCATCTTCTCGAAACTCCCCGGATCTCGAATATCCGAATTCGTTCGATGGAGACCCGAACGTGTCGTCCGCGCTTCCAAGTCGGCGGGGGCGACAAAGTCCAACGAGGCGAGGAGGATTTATGAGATTACGCGGGGGAGAGGACAGGACGCCGGATCGACCATTTATTCTTCGGCTTCCACGAACTTTCGGCCGCCATCCGCGCATCTCATCTCGTCCCGTCTCTCTGTCACAGGCGCAAGAGCAAGGCGATTTCCCGGCTTACTTTGACATCTTTTTCGGCATCCGCATCCACGTATCCCTCTGCCCTCCCATCTCTCCTCGTCTCTTTATCTGCAAATGTACTCTGTCGAGCCGCCCGCGAAGAAAGAGATCCCCACGGGAGACTAACCTGTTCGTTCAAAGATTTTACCTGCAGCCACCGGTCCGACTCACCGGCCGTGTATTTGTGCGAATTCGCCCCTGCTTTTTTACCTGCTGTCGAAAATCGTGAGAAGGTAAACCCTATATGTGACCGTTTCACTTTCAAGAAGAACGTGTCCCGACATGCTTAGGAGACTGCGAACTGTACTACGCGCTCTTCTTCAGAAAAGAAAAAAAGAATAGGATTTGCCAAAGATAATTTATTAGGTTCGCATAAAAGGTCTGTCGTGTTTGTCAAATATAAACGAAAAACATAAATTATACAATTTCGAAGAAGTAATAATTTTTACAAATAGCATATTTTCTCTTTTGTAGAATATCACACTAATCGTGTGAAGGAGCGCGTAAATTTCGCATCATGTTTCTTTTTTTTTAATTTTTACGACTAAAACGAACAATATCTAAAAGACAGAGGGAGAGAATATTTAAATCTGGAAATAAAAAGATATTTACTCGATGGATACTGATAACATATTTATTTACATCTAAATCTCTTTGTTTCAGTAGAGTAAACAATTGTGCTTTCATGAAAAGTTAAGTTTTTAAGAAAATGTATACTTTCTTATTTGAAAAATACTCTCTTACATCTCTCTTACATCAGCAAATATGTTGTTATCTGGCGCGCATGATTGCTTTTTATTTCATAGATATTTTTTCTCTCAGAGTAGCCGTAGAATGCCTCGGAGCATTTAACGGATCCTGCCACATGAATCTCCTCTCCGACGATCCCTTGGCGCAATTTTTTAATAGAGCGGATTTTTCGATTCGCGCGGCAAAGGAAGTGCGGGAATTATTACATAAATCCACCGTGGAGTATTCGCGCGCGTATTACGATCATCTCACCTTCGCACTTTCACGTGTACGCGGAGCCGCGACTAGGATCGCCCGGGGTTTCCGGCTTCGCGCCGAAAGCGCGCATCCAGACATTTCGCTCGACAAGTGCGGAGCTGCTGTCTTCTTTTCCCAGTCGAAATTCTAGTGCGATTCTTTGTTGTTACGCCACCGGGTCCCTCGGCCGGGCAACGCGCGCGAATTTACGCGCGATTCGAAAGCCCACCGTCGCCTTCCCCGTCGTCGCGCACTCACTCCCGATGCGGCGAATGAAATAGAGAAAAAAAATGAGAGGGACAGAGAGAGAGAAAGAGAGCAAGAGAGGAGGGAGGGAGGAAGGAAAAGGCGGCGAAGGAGAGGAAGCGGCCGCAGCTTGTCGCGCTTCGCCGATCGAGTCCGACGATTAATTATTTATCCCGCCATCGCGTCGACACGCACTACACACACACACACACCCAGACACAAGCACGTATATTCGTCTGTCGTATGTGTGGTTTGTATTTCCGCCGTTATCGGTGAACCGCGTCACAGTCCTTTTGTCACGAGCCTTTCGATCGCTGATGCGGCGCAGATAATTCGCGATTATCGCTGCGCTCTTCAGGTGTACGAGGACGCCTCGTCGTCTTGTCTACGTCGCGTCGATTTGGCGATATTTTCAACACGTAAACCAGCAAGTAAACAGAACGTTATTTGAAGAAATTATTTGAGAATTGTGTCGTGAGAGTTGCATCATGATTCCTTGTCTTAGACCCTGTGGTGCTTGCAAAAGGTCATAACTAGATGTACACCGAGAGAAAAATGATCTTAAAATCAATAAATATTTCCTTGGTGGGTGCCATTAACATATTTACTTAAATCTACATTCTCTTAAATCAAATATTGTTTACTTGATTTAAATAAACAATATTTGATTTAAGTAAAGAGAATGTAGATTTAAGTAAATATGTTAATGGCACCCACCAAGGAAATATTTGTTGATTTTAAGATAATTTTTCTCTCAGTGTAGCAGCGACTCAATAATTGCTTTTCTTTAAGTCGTTATTTAGTCCTTAAGCGTTGGTCACACTCGATCAGAGAATTGATAGTTGACAATTCGTAGTTTCGAGCAAAACGTTATATTTAACGCGAGTCGTGGCTTGATCCCAGCCAACCCCATCGACATTTGCGACAAAACGCAACATCCATAAGATGAATGCCGCATTGCACATTTTTCCTGTAAGGGAATTAATTTAAACTATAAATATTCTTCGGATGGTTCCTTCTTCTCCGCGTTGGGGTTGGGAAAGGGTTGGGGTTCTTCCTTGTCCCAAGGAAGAAGTTGCAATTTTTCGTGCAAAAGACGCGCACTCCGCGTTTTCCACGACGTGGCGCGAGAAGGTGCGCCCGCGCGCACCTCGCGGAAGCGCAGCGCGGCGCGTTTCTTTTTTCTTCTCTCTCGCTTTTTCTCACTTTTTCCTCTTTTCCTTTCTTTTCTTTTGTTCTTTTTTTTCGGTAGGCGTAATACGAGGCGCGCAGCGAGCGTGTGAGCGACCCGGTAACGCGCTCCGCAAAGTGCAGCGAAGCGAATTGCACGCTCGTTGCACTGCGCGGTAATGAGCATCGCGCGCGCGGGGGAAGGCTCCGACGTCGCCGACGTCGCCGTCGTCGTCTTCTCATCTCTTTTCCCCTAATAATATGACGCTAACAGCGCAGTGTGTCTGCTAATTGTAACAACGACTAGGCAATATTGCGACGTTGCGTGTGTATAATATGTAACACGCGTTACACACTGCGGACCTCTCGTGTCTGTGGATTTCACGTTACGTGCACTGAGAGAAAAGACAATGGCTAATCTCATTTCACTGATAGCCATTTCCGGCGCCGATCAAGTTTCTTCTAACAAAAATAAGCGACAATGTGCAATTAATGTTATCATCGCTGAAGCTATATAGCAGCGTTTTTACTGGAAAACTAGTCTGGCTGTAATTACTTCACTGGGCAGCCACAATCACAAGTGCCAGACACTTTTCTCGCGGCGTGGGAGCAGAGAGTCAGTCCTACTGAAATTGTAGTAACTTCAGACGCGTCGATCATATTTTTTTTGTTATCCCAACAAAGAAGCAAGACGCTTGAGATTCGTGTGGCAGGATCCGCTAAATGCTCCGAGACATTCTACGGCTACACTGAGAGAAAAAAGATCTAAGAAAGAAAAAGCAATCATGCGCGCCAGGTACCGACAACAACATATTTGCTTGTGCTGATGTAAGAGAGATGTATTTTTCAAATTAGAAAGTATACACATTTTCTTAAAAACTTAACTTTTCATCAAAGCACACGGAAAAAAAAAATTTGCTTGAATTAACCAAATATCTGGTCGAATATGAACGATCCAGAAATTCCGATTGAAGTAAGCCGAATTCTGTTTAAGTTAACAAGATTTTTGGTGAACTAACCAAACATGTTATTGGTTATTAAACCAGACATGTTTAGTTTAGTCTATCAAAAATCTTGTTAACTTAAACAGAATTCGGGTTACTTCAATCGGAATTTCTGGATCGTTCATATTCGACCAGATATTTGGTTAACTCAATCAAATCTTTTTTTCCGTG